CAGAGAATTGGGTAAAGGGAGACGTTGGACAGTGTAAGACACGACAAAATAATAATAATTTATAAATTATCAAGGGTTCATGAGGGAGGAGGGGTGGGGAGAGAGAAAAAACGAGGAGCTGATACCAATGATCCCAAGGGCGCAAGTAGAAAGCATATGTTTTGAGGATGATGATGGCAACAAATGTACAAATGCGCTTCACACAATGGATGGATGGATGGATTGTGATAAGAGCTGTAAGCGCCCCCAATAAAATGATTAAAAACAAAACAAAACAGTGGGCTCAAACATAATAATGATTGCGAGGATGACCCAAGACCCGGAAGTGTTTCGTTCTGTTGTTACATAAGCTCACAAGGAGTCAACCAACTCAACAGCACCTAACCACAACAAGGTAGAGTTGAGGGCGTGGTTACCATAATAAAGCCACATGTTTAAATGTCCATGCCAACGAAAATACTGAATTCTGGGAGCCCCATCCCCCTTCCCTTCCTGGATTTCCCCAGTACTGGTAGCCAGATATTTGCGGTGTAGGCGGAAGATGATAACTCTTCCATTAAGAATCTGACCCTCCAAAGAAAAAAGGACTTTAGGTAGCAGCTCTAGGAGTCGGCCAACACATGGCCCCCCAAATGGCTGCATGAAGGCATGCTGGAGCTCAGTGTCCACAAGTCCCGCACGAACGTCAGAGCTTCCCGTCAGCCCTGGAAGCCTCCATTCTTAACAGCCAGAAGGGCCAGGCATCTGAGAAAAGCACCTCACATGGATCATTGGGCCAAAGCAAAGAGAAAAAAACAAGAGAAACAGACTCTATGCAAGGAAAGGACAAAAACCCACTCCCACACCAAATACCTTCAAACAAACAAACAAACAAAACACTTTATTGTGAACCAGGCAAAGGTTTGCAAAGCAGATCACAGTTGTGGTAGTTGCACAACTTCATGTGAACTTGATAAACGAATGAAAGGGTGGAGTCTAGCCTGTCAATCAGGTCATAGTCTGATTCCTCCTTGTGGGCATGGCCTTCTCCTGAGGATTCTGGGAATTTCTCTCTTGATTCTGCCATCAGAAGAGGTGGGCCTCTCTCTCACTCTCAGTCTCGCTCTCGCTCTCTCTCTGTGTGTTTCACCTTCTTTCTGACACCACACGGAACCATGCTGATGGCAGCCAGAGCCCTGGAGAGGCGTCCACCACCATTGGATCCACAGGACTTACCACCCACTGGCTTGTGATCTTCCTGTATTGGGCATCATTGAATATACTGAGCGAGTCTGAAGAGGAATTTATAGACTGGTATCAGACGTTGGGACTAATATCGGACTCGTGGACTTGATCTGGGCTGGGATGCTTTCTCAATATACAATTGCTCTTTGATATAAAGCTCTCTCTTACACACATATGAGTGTCTCTGGATTTGTTCGCTAGCCAGTCCAGTCTAACAATAGTTTTGCGTTCAACAACCCGTATGCATTTTGGTTTGACTCATCCATTAGCAATCCTCTCAGTGTGCCATCTCTTCTCCGACATGGTTCTGTTTCTCTTCCTCCTTCTCGCCTAGCCCTGAGAACTTGATCCTGGGGTGAGTGCTGCCCTTTGGATCGTAAGTAACCAGTGATGCTGTCAGAGGTGAAGGGTAAGAGTCAAAGCCCGGGGCAGTCCCACCAGTCTCTGCGGAACCAGTTCGCCTGGTCTTTCTTCGGAGTCTGTGTGCTGTTGCTCATGTTCCTTCCCACTTTGCCAACACCTTCTAAAGGGATCCTGGTCAAAGCCCTCGGTGGTGGTAGCTGGGGACCCTCTAGTGCTGGGCCCAGGGATTGTGGAGAATGGGGTTGGCGGGCTTCATTCAGCCATTGGACTATTTGTCCCTGTGTGTGTTTCCACTCTCATCACTCTTTTCCTCTGGATGGGAAAAAATAAATAAAACAACACTTGTACCTTAAATGGCTGCTCACGAGCTTTTAACACCCCAGTACCTCAGGGTGTAGAAGATTGTTTTGTGAGCTATGTTATGCCAATTGACCTTGAAGACCCCCTAGATTCTGGTCCTGATCCCACTATGCTCCAGAGACAGAGTACCCCCAGGCCAGAGTGCAGCCCTGGGAATCAGGGCACCAACGTGCTGAGACTTGCACCATGAAGATGCTCACTGCCGTGGTACCCTCTTTTTAATCCCGTGGTAGACAGTCTAGATGGACCTGGGCCAGGTTCTTAAGTGCACTTGGCTTGGCTTGGCATGGTTTGGCGTGGCTTGGCGTGGTTTGGCGTGGCTTGGTATGGCGTGGCTTGGCTTGGTTTGGCGTGGCGTGGCTTGGCTTGATGATGTGTTGGTAAAGTTCCTACTTTCCTTGTCATGGCCTCACGGCCTGCTGCTGCGTCAGCAGAGAACACTCATTCCACTCCACCAAGTGTTGGGAGTAGGACTTCTCCTGAGAACGGGAGATCGGCTGTGCAGTGCTTTGAAGCCAGAAGTAGCGAGAGCCTCCTGCCTGTGACCGTGGTTTTCATAAATCCAGTCAAGTTTAGAAGAGACAGGAATTTTTCAAACAAAATAAAATAGTACAGGAAGATCAAGTCACCTGCAGTAAGCATCAATTTTCCTGTTTCATGATTTGAAGTACGTAAATAAATATATGCATATATAATAAGAGCAGAAAGTCCAGATTTAGTTCCAAAGATTTTAGAACTCCACTTCCCTAAGAAGTGCCACCTCCTCCATACACAAGGGGCCCTGGTGACAGTGGGTTAAGCGTTGAGCTGCTAAACTGGAAGGTCAGTGGTTAGAAACCAGCCCCTCCGCAGGAGAAACAAATGAGGCAAACTGGTCTCCTGACAGCGTGTCCAAAGCAGGTGAGATCAAGTCTCTCCATCCTTGCCTCCAAGGAGCGCTCTGGCCAATTTCTTCCGAGACAGGTCTGTTTGTCCTGGCAGCAGTCAGTGGTACGTCCCATGTTCTTCTTCAGCGCCGCCATTCAAATGCATGGTCTCTTCTTCACGCTTCCTCAGTCACTGCCCAACTTCCACATGTATGTGAAGCGACTGAAAATACCGTGGCCTGCGCCAGGGGCACCTTAGTCCTCCCTGCCTTCAGTAGAGGGCGAGCAGAAAAGAGGAAAACTCAACGAGATGGTTGACACCGTGGTTGCAACAAGGCTCAACCGTCACCATGATTGCGGGAAGCTGCCAGACTGGGCAGTGTTTCCTTCTGTTGCTCTCTCACGGTCATGGTCATGAGGAGTCAGAATCAACGGCACTTCACAGCAACATAACAACATCAGACGATGAAGTCGTGTTCTCACCAAACATCGTTTAACATCTCAGGGAACACGGTGTTCTTGCAATACACCATCGGTGACGTATTTTGAGTACCTGGGAAGGGATTTAATATGATTTAATAGGATTTTTCCTGAAAGGAAGTAAATTTTTAAAATCAAATCTTTAATCTTGTGGAAAATACAGTTGTACTTAAAGTTTCTTGGTGAGAAAAATAATTATGCACATGTGCGCAAGTACTTTTGATCTCAGCTGGGTTGGGCTTCAGTCTTGATATTTGACTGAGTGAAAAGGATTCTTTTCCCGAACTTTTGGGGCCTTTTCGTTGGTATTTCGTTTTGTCATTATATTCTCTGTAGGGAAAACCTGGAAGAGATAAAGGCTTTCTATGGCAGTCTACTTTAAATGCCAACTTCAAATACTGGCAGTCCGTAGAAGAGGATTTAATTTTTTACTTTCCTGCTCTGAGTAGTTTAGTATAAAAATATGTTGGGTAAGGTTTGGGAGTCAAGATGAATATTGATAATTCTATTTTTGTTTTATTTCCATGGTTTAATGGAATAATACATGTATAATACGTGTAGAGGTTTTCTCAATATCCTGCTTTGGATTTATTTAGGATTATTATGAATATTTAAAAGGCTAAGTAGTTTATTTATGTTGAGACCTTCCAGCGAGCATTTTACATGGTAGAATTCTTTCAGCTATTACTGCATAATCTTTCCCTCTTGTTTATATATTTCAGTTTCAACTGCCTCCGAGGGAGCATCCTCCTTCTCAACATTTTCAGCCTCGTCTCCGGATTCAGCATCTCCAGAGAAATCCGTTCATGTTTTGTCCTCAGTTTTGGCTGAACCCTCCTTCTGGACTTTATCCCACCAACCATCTTATTCTGCTTCCCTTAGAGATAAAGATAAGACAGCCAGGGTTCATCACCCCTTTAGTCCTAGGAGTACGGTGTCTTCCGACGAAGAGGAGAATGCCAACCTCCACCTACTGGAAGGCCTGCCAGACGGCGCCGATCCTGCTAACAACCAGACCAGGGGCGTCCCTGGCACTAATTCGGCAGAGTTGTCCACCCCAAATGTAGACCACTTCACCTCTCTGTCCAGCGCTAGTAGTCCCATAGCCAAAGTCTTGCCTAGGGAGCCTGAATCAAACCGTTCCATTCATGTGCTTTTAGGAGAGGTGAGAAGTGCTATAGGCAGATTGCATAAAGATCTGAGCACGGTGATCCAAGAACTTCATACCATCAATTGCCAGCTGGGGAGCTTGAGTGGGAGCAGTCAGCAAATAAGCACCTCTTTGCAGTCTACTCAGTCTTCTGAGGGTAGCTCAGATCAGAGCTAATCAGCTCAAAAGCCACCGGTGGGAAAACTCAGGTGGGCCCACTTCCCAAAGCCCTAAGTCAGTCTTTTGTCGATCTTTCATATGACCGCTAAGAAGGGGAGTGATGGCTTCACTGTTCCTAGTCAAGTGGCTTTCGGACCACTACATTTATTGGGGTAGTTTATTTGGATGATTAATGTTTTTGAAAGCGAAAAGACGCCACCTCTGATCATGGTTTCAGATTTTGGCTGTCGGTTCCTTTGAAACTGCAGGAAATTCACTGTCCGTGCTGTGTGCTTCACCTCCACATAGGGGAGGCACCCCTGAACGCTGCGGTAAGACCTCAAACTGCAAATACGCGTTCCAAAATGTTGACTAAGTGTGCTGTAGGAAACCCTTTAATTTCCCATTGTATGGCGCCCCGTTGTTAACCAGACTGGGCCTCGACTCAGGGGGATAAGGTTTACTGCATACATTTCACGTGTTCTTTTGCCAAATTTCAAGTTCTGCCAACCCAGGGTTAGAAAGATTCTTTCTCATCTTTTGGATCCCATAGTTGATTGGATGTTACATTGTGACGAATAAGACATGGAACAGTGTTTTATTGCAAAATAAATCCAAATGCCTACTTTTTTCCTTCTTCTGTTTTGGAAAATAAATCTGATATTTTCCTTTTATATGCCTATTTCTTCATTCATTAAGATAAACTTTTGAACTGAAATTTCATTTCATAGGCAAACTGATCTGGTTTAGGGATTACAGACCAGTGATTCTTGGTCCTGCTGCTCTTTGACTGTCCATGGAATCTTTTATTTTATCTTCTTAGAATATTGTAATGCATTTCATGCTTCCATCACTAAGTTCCAAGAACTACCTGTTCACTGCTAATCTTGCTTCATTTATATCCCTCCCCACTGATGCTTTTGAAGAAGTAGGGAAATGTTTGTAAGCACACGAATGCCTGGATCTCACAAGAGTTGAAGCAGTTGGCTGCTAATACAGGGTCATTATAGATGGAAATCAACTCGACAACAAAAAATTTCATGGATTATTTTGAAAAAAAGTATGGGACTTAAAAGTATATATACTAATGCCTGCATCTCACCCTCCAGACAAACTGAAATTGATTTTCACTACAAAGCTTAACTAATGGTTATTCTTGTGTTCCACTTTTTGAGAAACCGCCAACTGTTTTACAAAGTGGCTATACTACTTTACCATAAGTTTTTGTGTGTAATGTTTTCATCGTCCTCTGATTCAAAATTTTGTCTAATTCTCATCATGGAAAAAAAAAGTTTTACATTTTAAAATTTCCGGGCATGCACCGTTTGATCATTCTAACATCTGGAGTTTTTGCAAGTCTGATTTTTCCCATCAGCTACTGGTACTTGCTCATGATCATGCTACCATGTTTTCTCCTGGACTTGATTATCTGTAAGTGCGTGCTGCTCATACTATTGGGGAAGTTATTTGTATAAGTAACATAAAAGACCTAAGAGCTTGATGTTGTTGTTGCTATTGTTGTGTGTATGCTTTGGGGGTTTTTTGTTTGCTTGTTGTTGCTTCTGCACATGCCTGGTTCACTATCATTCTGATTAGGCACATCAAAGCTATGGCTTAAGGTTTTCTAGAACACCCAGGTAAGTTCCAGGATCTCAGGCTAGACTTCCCACCCTCTCTGAGGTCATTTCTGTTCTTCTTACCTCTACTGAAAGAATTCAAGAAGCACGTTTAGCCTTCAATCGCAATACAGAACGATTCTATGGACAAAGTATCGAATGGGGCAAGAAGCATCAAAAAAAGATGTAAGAGATACACAGCGCCACTGTACCAAAAGGAACTAGTCACTATTCAACCATCTCGAGAGGTAGCACATGATCAAGGCCCAATGACGCTGAAGGAGAAATCCAAGCTGCACTAAAGGCATTGGCCAAAAACAAGGCTCTAGGGATTGACGGGCTATTCATTGAAATGTTTCCACAAGTTGATGACGCACCGGAAGCGCTTACTCCCATGCTAGTCCGTTTCACTAACGCCTAAGATACTGGTCTGCTTTGCATTCCGTTTAACCTTTGACGACTTCCAGTTTTCCTAGATTCATACTTTGTTCACATCAAGTTGCGATTTTAGCAGATATTTGCAGCTGTTTCTTCTCACCTTGAACTGTGCCCCATCAGCAAAAGAAGACCCCAAGGGCCCCACTGCCACAGGCTTTATTCCATTCACGTCACCGGGGCACAGTGGAGGCCAGGGAAAAGAGAGACTGGCGTCGTGGCTGCAATAATGCGTCCAAACGTAAGAACCGTGGCGAGGACGGCACAGGACCCGGCGGTGTTTTGTTCTATGAGTGGATGTTGTCTTGATGGCAGTGAGTCTGGTGTGGGGTTTTGAAAGCGTTACAGTGTCTGAAAGCCACAAGGACAGTTCTACTCTGTCCCGTAGCGTCCCTGTGAGCTGGAATCGACTCGCTGCCATTTACGTTGGAGCATGGCTTGGGTTCCTACAGCCAGGAGCCCTGGTGGCAGCGGATTCTGTATTATTTGAACGCGCCAGCTGCTCGGTGGGAGGAAGATGAGGCTTTCTGTCCCCATGAAGATTCACAGGCTCAGAAACCCACAGGGACCGTCCTCCTCTGTCGTATAGGATCTCACTACAAGTCACAATTGACCGGTGGCCTTGACTCAGTTCTGGCTGTTGTAGTCCGCCTTTGGTTCCTAAGGCTGTGTACCAGATCCTGGTGAGACAAACAAGACGTGGTTCCTTTCCTCCGCATGCTAGTTTGATAGATTAATGAAATTACACACACACACACACACACACACACAAATTCTGCAAGGGGTATATAGGATTTGACCTTGTCATTGAGTTCAGGGAAGTTTTATCTAAGAAAGCAGCTCTTGAGATGAATATACTAATGGTAAAGTAAAATAGAAAGGAAATCCGAAGGACCACTCCTCTATTAGTGTACTGCACCCATCAGGGAGAGCCACCAGTGGGCTCTTAAGGGAATATAATCTCTCTTCCTCGAGACTGACTGGGAAATTTCTTAGCTGTGCCTTGCTAAGCACGAGTCTATCATGGGCTCTCTCGAGTCGTTTCCATCACCACGGCCATATTTTCCAACGTCTTGGTTTCCAACGTTCACATTGCAATCTATGTCACTAAAAGCTAATATACTTTGAGGAAACAACTCTTCCCGCGCCATAGTTTGCTTCTGGCATTATACTGTGTCACATAATGCTCCCCTGTTGTTCACACCATTGTCACATTCTGCCTGGAAGTAGATCACCAGGTCCTTCCCCCGAGTCCACCTTGGTTGGGAACTGAGGGCTGTTAGGACTTGTGTCAGTGGGTCTTGGCTGGAAGCCAGAAATACCATAAGATGTTTGCCTGTGTTTTACTGTTCTATGTAAAGGCATTTTTTTTTCCTGTGTGGAAAATAGCAAATTATGCTCCAAGTTTGTGAATATTAGGACTTCCAGAACAGTTATGCTCAGGTGGAACTAAGGGGCACTCATTCAAACAGAACCAGGGGATACTATACTGCCTGGTTTAAAACCAGGAAAAGTAGGCCTCGGGTTGCATCCTTCCACAGGCGATATCCTGAGAGAGTCATCGAGAGGCTGGACTCGATGGTGAAGAACATAGCGTCAGGACTGGAGGAAGGCTCCTTAACAACCCACAGTCTAGAGATGACACCGCCTTGCTTTCCGAAAGCCACAGGGCTCAAAACTCTTACTGATGGAGATCAAGACTACAGTCGTCGTGATATTTTGCCTCCGCATAAAGGAGACAGAAAGCCTCACCATCAGATCAACAAGCAACATCATGATACGTGGAGAAAAGGCTGAGGTTGTCAAGGAGTTCGTTGTACTTGGAATCAGAATCAACGCCCCATGGCAACAATCATCAGGAAATCAAATACCACATGGCATTGAGCATATCTGCTGCACAAGACACCCTGAACGTGGGACAAAGCTAAAATGTCACTTTGAGGACCAAGATGCGCCTGCCCCATGCCAGGTACGTCTAATCCCTTCATATGCTTGGAAAAGGTAGGGGATGAATACGGGAGAGTGGGGCAGACGGATGCCCTGGAATCACGGTGTTGATGGGGACGAAATCCTTCTTGGAAGATGCACACGTCATCTCACGTTCTTTGATCAGTCCATGGAAAGGGACGTCAGGCTTGGTCAAGCAGAGGGTCAGCAATAAAAGGAAACACCCTGTGGTATACAGATGACACGGTGAGTTGGACTGATACAGCGGCGGCAACAACGGTGACGACGATGCAGGACCGAGTGGTGCTTTGTGCCCCCGTGCCTTGGATTGCTTGATGTCGGGACAGACTCAATGGCGCCTATCAACAAGAGCAACCCTGGGGAAGAAAACCTTCCAGAGACACCGCACCCTTCCTTCCATCTCCCTTTCCCAAAAGGTGCCGCGTCAGGAATTCGGACATTCACCCAAAGGCACCCCACAAATAATGGAGGCACCGCAAAAACCAGTTCACCGGAGAAGTTCTCTGCTTACTGCGCGCACATACAACTTCAGGTTTTAACTAGGCTTTGCATAGCTCCTATATTCCAATTCAACCATTTGCTAATTAGTATTATTAGCAAGCACTTATTTGAGTTTCTATTTAGCCAACACCATTAAATTAATAGAATAGACTTGGCTTAAATTGAGAGTGAGTATATTCTGATTGACTTTGTAATTATGTTAGATTAAAAATACTTCATTAGATTTTATTCTCTCAAGTATTTTGCTTGAAGATCCCATTATAAAGCAGTTATAAAAATGCTGTACAGTTTACTTTCTGCCAAATTAATCATGTACTCATTCTTTAAATATTTATTAAGCCCCATTTTATGAGCTGACCACTTGCTAGACATTGGGGATTCAGCAGTGACTGAGATGGATGTGGGTCCTATCTTCAGAGCTGCGGTTGAGTGGTGGCATACATAAATCAACGGGTAATAGCCATCTCGCTCATGTGTAAGTGTTACAAATTTGGGAAGCACAGACTGGTGTGTGGCGTCTTAATAAAGAGGGGCGCCCTCCCCTGAGAAGAATGTACCTCAAACGATGGCACTGAATCTGCAGCTTCGGGAGAAGGATATATCTGACCAGAGCACACAGGAACAGATGACGGGGGAGGAGAGAGACTGGAGCACATCCTGACCCACTAGGCCAAACAGAGCAGCCAGTCCACAGAGAGGACCACA